TGAAAAAAATAATGTACCTGAGGCTTTTAGAAAGCCCTCCTTCATTTAAGTAAGAGCTCTATGAAATGTAATCCAGTTTATAATACCGGCCCTTCCCCCATTTGGGCTGGAAAGAAAGTCTGAATCTTCCATAGACCATCCAGCAGCAGTGACGAGGTGAGATGGTGCTCCCGAGGCGCATGTGCCGTGGCACCACTTCCTTCCAGGTCTGCACTCGCATGCGAGGAGGGTCAGGAAAAGGAGACACATCTTCCCCAAAAGTATCACTTTATTCTACAGCTTCTGACCTCAAAGGCAAGGGAAGTAATGCAAAAATGAAGGAAGGGGACTATATCAAACTAAAAAGCTTCTGCACAGCAAAAGAAACTATCAATAAGACAAAGAGGCAACCATCCAAATGGGAGAAGGGCCTAATATCCACAATATACAAAGAACTCATACAGCTCAACAATAAGGAAAAAAAATCCAATTAAAAAATGGGCAGAGGACCTGAATAGACACTTCTCCCAAGAAGAACTACAAACAGCCAGCAGACATGTGAAAACATGCTCAACTTCACTAGCTGTTAGGAAAATGCAAACCAAAACCACAATGAGATACCACCTCACACCTGCTAAAATGGCTGTAATCAACAGGGCAAGTAATAACAAGTGCTGGAGAGGTTGTCGGGAAAAAGGAACCCTCAGACACTGCTGGTGGGAGTGTAAATTGGTACAGCCACTAGGGAAAACAGTATGGAGGGTCCTCAAAAGACTAAGAATAGAATTACCTTATGACCCAGCAATCCTTCTTCTGGGTATTTACTCAAAAAACTGGAAAACATTTATCTTCAAAGATATAGGCATCCCAGTGTTCATAGCAGCGTTGTTTCACGGTGGCCAAGACATGGAAACAACTGAAGTGTCCTACGATTGATGACTGGATAAAGCAGCTTTGGTACAGATATACAATGGAATATTACTCAGCCATAAGAAGAGATGAAATACTGCCATTTGCCACAGCATGGATGGACCTTGAGATAATCGTGCTAAGCAAAATAAGCCAGACAGAAAAAGTTGAGAGCCATATGATTTCATTCATATGTGGGATATAAAATCGAAAGCAACAAATAAAAATGACAAATAAACAGAGACTCGAGGACACAGACAGTGGATTAGTGGTTACCAGAGAGAAGTGGGGATGGGAGAAGGTAGGTAAGGGTAAAGGGGGTCAAATATTTGGTGATGAAAGGAAATTTAACTTTGGGTGGTAAACACACAATCAATAGACATATGATGTATTACTGAATTGTACACTTGAAACCCATTTGATTTTATTAACCAATGTCACCCCCAGTGATTTTAATTTAAAAAAAAAAAAGATCACTGGAGGTGTGAATAAAGAAGACACTATCATCTGATATTTTACCCTTCCCAATTTATTTCTCTCTAGTGCTTTATGCTCTCAACAATTATCTAAGTTATCTGCTTTTCTGCAGCAAAAGCCTTTCTTACCTAATATTCATTTTCTTGTATTGCACGTTGGCTTATAGTAAAACTCCAACCTCACCTTTTCCAATCCAACTCTTAACCCTTAATTTAGAAGTACAGATATTTAGGAAAAAAACAATTTCCTCAATAAGTCAAGTTTTCTACACTGTATCCCTAGACACTCGAAAATTTTTAATTTAAAACATAAGAATTTAGAACAAAAGAAATGACCGCTTTTAATTTAGAACAAAAGAAATGACCGCTTTGTTCTTAATTGTATAAATTTACCCTTCCACTAAACTAGTGAATTAGAGGAACAAGGATTATTGAGAATGAAAAGGTATTAGCTTCATATCTCAAAAACATGATCCCTGTTACATTAATAATGAAGAATAAACATGAAAAAATTGATTAGGTCTATGTGGTTATATAAAGTACTATATACATGCAAAAATTTGGAGAAGTGCTGTAAAATGTGGACAGTAGGATAAATGATCAAGGAGGAGAACCATTAAATAAATAAATTGGAAAGATAAAATCTGAAAAAGCAAACAAGAATTAGGAGCAACTTGGCAAAGTCATAAAAGAAAATAGAAAACCATTATTTTAAAGTAGTAGAGTAGAATGTATATTGCTATTTCAAAAGTCAGGAAGTATATAAATTTAGATAGCAATTTTTGTAGTGCCAGCTCCCTATAAAATTCTTTTAACAGCTCCACAAATGGTATAAAATGGAATTTAAAAAATATAAATTAATGAAAAGTATATACACTCATATTGTGCCTATCTGTTCAAAAAATTTTTTTGGCTTAGACTATATTAAAGGTCCTATTATTTCTGGTATACAGAATGTTATATACTTGACTATGAACCCAGTTATACAAATGAAGAATGAAAAAGCAAAATTTGGGCAATAAAGTTCTTTTCAATTGCAATGCAGAACTTTAGATATCATTCAGTTATTTCAAAAAAGTGACTTACCATTTGTTCTATAAACTAAACTGAGATGAATTTTCAGTGGCCCCAATAGCCTAATTTATTAAATTAAAATTTAATGTAACCATAGAGAATTATTTCTATGATTCATAATTAGACATTGTAGTATGAAAAATAATTACAATTAATATGGCATCTTATACTTTCACAATTTATAAGACAGAATATACGTATAGCCCTGTTTTATAAGTTTAACTTGTAATTAAGGAAGTCAATCTGTTGGATCTTTTGAAATGCCTACACTGTTTTCATTGTTTTAAAAACAACATAAATTTTTAAGACTTTTGTATGATTTGAATTTAATATTATATGGCAAAATTTATTGCTTATTCAGGGTTCAGTGTGTCTCTAATCTTTGATACCGTGATGATACATTATCAAGATATATTGAATTAGAACAGAAACATTAAAATCTTTTCAATAGTTTTACAAATTGCCTGAACTCTCTTGGGTCAGTTCTATGAGTTCATGTAAGATTGAAAGTTGCTATGTCAGGCAATACATGTTCCACCCATACAATTAATTTTTTAAACAGATTCACAATTCTTTGAATTTTAATGCATCAATAATTTAGACCCAGTTTTGAATATTTTCTATTAGTCAGTATCAAAAGACCGAAACAAAGAAGCTAAGCTGATTTCCATCAATTAGACTTCTTCAGTAACTCCATAGGACAGTAACTTAACCCATCTCTTGCCTTAATATTTATCTGTTGGTAAGTGGTAAATTTGATATATCTGTTACAGGAGCCGCAAGAATTTAAATGATTAACAAAGTTAATCTTGCTAAATACCAAGAAAGAAAGAAATGATAAAAGAATAACAATGTTCATAGCTTCTAAGAATTTGAAGAAAGCCAATTCTAATCATCCTATAAACAAGCCTTTGAAAGGAACTTTTGCTAAGCAACAGTTTTAGTGTTGAATTACATTTTCTCTTAATAGATGATTGTCATTGAAGAACATTTAAAGGAGTCAAATGTGGCCAAAGAGATTAAAAAATAATGAATGGAGAAAGGAATCTCCTTGATTTAAGTGGTTGTTTCAATGTGAGAAGGAGAATGATATCAAAGAAGGGGAAATGTAAATGATGAAGGCTTAGGTTGCTATGATAGCGCCAAACATTCCAGCAAAAAACTTGCACCAATATCCTTTGACCTGTGGGCACACAAAGCAGCAATAAGAAGTGGAGAAGGCTAGAGAAGCAGGGAGTTTGAGACATGGAATGCTCCCTATACAAACAGTGTACAAAGGTTTTGTGTTGATATTGCATTTTATATGCCTCACATTATCCAAATATTGATTTCCAGCTCGCTTTTTAAATTACCGTTGGGTGCTTTAAATTAAGAGCAGTGAAATTATGAAAGTCTTTTTCTTAACGATTATATGCACTAAAAGAAAGTGAATTTGAAAAGCAGATTGTCTTTAAATGTGGTCAACATTTGTGTGAGTAATCTACTGAAAAATAAACCAAAATTTCACTTGAAATTGCAATTCCTCCTATAAAAAAAAAAATGTTCTTTTTGAAAGACCTAACACATCTATTTGATGTACTCATTTGAGAATTAAAATATCTGACTTAACCAATTTTAGTTTATTTTACTTTCCTAGTATTTTAATTCCCCACTAGTAAACCAAGGAGGATAATATTTTCACCTCTTGGAAATGGAGGGGTTCAGAATGAGTCGCCCCAAGATGTGCCTTCACGGTATGTGGATTATTTTGAGCTGAAGGCAAACAAGACCCTGCAGGCTCAGGAGCAACTTCTACCTCCCCACACCCCCACCCCACCCCCACCCCAACTATCTGGAAGAATTTGAATCACAAGCCTTTCCCATAAAGAGATTATCAGCAGTAACCTTTTTTTGACCTATCTATGTGGCAGGATGAACTACTAATTACTGAGCATCTGCTTTTCTTATTGCCCTGCAATCACCCTCTGAAGCCCCAAGGAGCCCTTAGCTCAGAATGTCATATTTGCCCCATTTTCCCTTTCTGTCAGGTAGGTGGTGTCTGACTCATGTATGTGGGGATCCCATGCATAGATATGTCATTAAATTTGGTCATTTTCTCCTGTTCATTGACTTAAAATAGATTTAATTATTAGACTAGCTCTAGCCGAAAGAAGCTTGAAGATAGAGGAAATGTTCTTCCCATAGAAACATTGTAAGGGTACTTTTTTTTTTTTTTAACACAACTTAATACAAAATGTTCTAAGAAAGTTTTTTTTTTTTTTTAATTTAAAATTTAAAAACTGGTCAGGCAGTTACTATTTGATCATTCCTTTTTCTTTATACTTCAAATGCATTTAAATTCTTTAATCTACTGGGAATATGGTAGACTTTTCATTCCCATTTCAAGTCTCAAACTCATTCCTTTTCCATTGTGTCTTTCTTGTTTGCCAGGCCAGCTAAATGGTCCCTCTTTATCATTCAAAACTTAACACTGAATTATCTTCTAATGAAGGATATTCTTCATGCAAAGCTTTTGAATGTATATATAGGAATAGGGCTCTGATTTATGGACAGTCCTTTAGCTTTACTTGAATTTTTCTTTTATTTTCATCGACAGTAAAATTTTCTGGAGAGTACAATCAAGATAGTGTAGTCATAGAAATAACATTAATTGAAGCTTGGTCATAAATGAGAAAAGTCATAATAACGATCTCCCTTACCAAAGCATTCCACACAGAGTGATAACAGCACAATAAATAGAGAACTTGTCGTTTGTCACACAACAAATAAAACAGTATTGCAATTGCAAAAATGTAATTTTATAAATGTTCTTATACTAAAAATAAAAGCAAAAATATGAGATCATGCACTGGAGACAAAGGCTAAAAGCAAATAGTTATAGAAAAAAAAAAACATTGCAAAAGATAAAAATGTTCAAGTATTGTGAGAGGAGAGGGGGAGATTCAAACGGAATGGTTTCAGACTAAATCAATTATGTTCACTACCCTAGGAGAGACACTGACATAACTGTCTTTGTCAGTTAATACTTCATGCTGTTAGAATACATCATTATCCATTTAAAGGATAGATTCCATTTCTTTGGAGCACATCTCCTGTTACAGTGATGGAGTGACATCCATTGTTTACCTCGATTGTAAACAGACAATAATACTTTAGGAGAAACATTCTCAAGAACAGACCAGTGTGACACCCTGGAAGAGAAGGGGCCTGGGACTTAGGAAGAAACATCGACTCTCATCCCATTTCCATCATTGACTGTAAAAGATACTGCCCAGTTCTGAGATCGAATTTCACCTGATGTTTCAATGTTGCTATGCGACTGGGAACTAGCAGAACTGGCAGAGAGCAGTCCAGATAACAACAATAAAAGTTTAACGTTTTTACTGAGGATTAATGTTAAAAAAGAGTATTGAAAAAAATAAGTTGGATCACCTAATAGAACTAAGAACTCTATAATGCTTCAGTGGGGTTTTTCCTACAGAATAACAACTTCTCCCCCAACATAACTAATCTAAGCGGTGCCCTTATACTTTGTGGTTGAAGAGTATATCAGATTTGAACAGTGGCTACTTTCTACGTGATTAGGAAAAACGTGTTTGTCATGGGAGTAAAAAAATAAAATTTGTCTGTTAAATTACACATAAATATAAGGTACAAATGTATTTTTAAAATACAGATTAAAATAATCACACTTGCATCGTGTACATACGAAAATACAGTATTTAATATTCAATATACACAGACACATTTATGATAAATGCAACTATTTGGCAATGCCAGTTCTTTCAGGGTTTTCTCTGTCCCCTATTTCCAAATGTATGGAAACAAAAAAACGCTTTGCTAAGCTCCCCTAGCTCTGGCGGACATCCTGGAGCAGCTTATTAATCTCGGCCACCAGCTCGCTGGCATCCATGAGTTCATGCTTCCCGTCGCTGAGGTGGTTGAGCACGTTGTCAAAATCGTCTTCTTCGTAATTTTCAGGGATCTCCTCCATGGCCGGCAACCACTTTGAGGAAGGCTGCACGCTGGAGTGAGTTCCCAGCGGGGGCCCGGAGGTGGTGGTGGGGTTCTGAAAGTGTGTGCTGGCCGCCCAGGCCGCCACGCCCTGCGGGTAGCCCCCGGTCTTGGCCGGCAGGGGACCCTTGCGGCGTTCCAGAGAGTTGGACCGGTCCACCTCGCCGCACTCAGGATAGGCGTCCAGGGAAGCTGGCAGGAGGCGCTGGAACACGCTGCTCATTTCCGAGAGCAGAGAGGATGTGCTGGTACCGCCGGAGTCCCCGTCGTTTGGGGACTCCTTCCCAAAGGTGGAAAAACTCTTCTTCTCGCCGGAATCCGCAGGCTGGGCGTCATCCTCAAGACTCTGATGAGGATGCGGCTGCTGGGGTTGTGCCGGGAATTCTTCCCCGGGGATGAACATGTTGCTCCTATAATCAGAGGATGGCGAGAGCAGCGGCGGCATCCAGCACTGGTCGGAGTGGCCCAGGACCCTGCACTCCTCCGTGCACAGCCTCATAGCTGCACTCAAGGGAGACAGTGGGGGTTGTTATTATACGTAGCATGACCCCAAATGATGGGGGAAACCTTATTCTATTTCAAAGTAATAGGATGAGGCGGTTTTAAAATACTACCATGATACTAACCCGTTACTTTACACATTAGATGGACTGCAATTATGGCTTTCCTTTGAATGCTAGTTTTATGGAACCGGCATATTTTTTTCCCTGTATATCAAACGAGGAGAGGAGGGTTAGGACTCATGTACTCTTCAGCAATGCCATTTGTGCAACTCAAGGGATGAGAAAATGGATGGATAACTTATACATGAGAATGACTGAAAAAGACTTAAGATGTGGGCGATGAATTATTCGCTGAACGTAAATTCTAGAACACATCAGAGCTGTAAGGTGAAATCCATAACTTTAGAAGGCCACCAGACAATCCTTGAATAATGCCTCTCGGTGACTTTCTAGATAGTGAGGTCTATATGACCTCCTTTAATTTTAATGGAGGCGCTGGGAATATATATAATAAGCTATCACATCACTATACTTATTAATCTCTCTTCAAGGTATTCTGCATTATTTATTGACTTGTTACTTAAAACATTAGTGGGAATTACCCTCAACTACCAGGCATCTGGAGTTACTCAGTTAAGAAGTCCTCTTTTAAAGGTTTGAAATTCAAATAGATGGAAAAGTCATGAAAAGATGAAGACTATGAAAGATCCATTGGGTAGTTCTTCCAGCTGTTATGGCCCCATTGGATTTTGAGTGGTCACGCTCACAGGAAATAATACATAATATGAAAAAAGCAGAAAATTAAAAAAGGAGAAAAATGTCTAACTTTGGCAAATAACAATAACTGAACTATATAACATCCAGAAAATGCGAAGATGTAAAATAGACTCCAAAAATCACTCCTCTCTTTCAGTGACCATTAGGTTTCTTCAACATCATGATTTCATTTTAGAGCAAATGACAGAATACAGAAAATGTAAAATAATGATCTTGGATATGAATGAAAACTGGATTGATACCAGCCATATCTTCATATTCAGAGCTAATTCTGTAGATCTGGCTACTTAAGAAAGATTTCCCTTTCTTTGAAATTATTGCTAGAAAGGATGAGCAATGTCAGATACCTTGTCAGAGGAAGTTTGTTTTCCAGTGTGTTTATTGCTGTATCCTCATCACTGGCTCAAATGTCTGCAGAGAATAAGCATTCACTACATATGTTCTAATCATCAGAGAAATGCAACTCAAACTATAATGAGATATCACCTCAAACCTGTCAAGATGGCCGTTCCAAAAAACAAAAAGTAATAAACGTTTGTGAAGATACACAGAAATTGCACCATCGTATGCTGTTGCTGGAAATGCAAGATGGTACAGCCATGATGGAGAACAGAATGGAGGTTCCCCAAAAAACTGAAAATAGAACTACCACATGAACCAGTAATCCCACTCCTGGATATTTATCTGAAAGAATAAAAGCAAATATTGTGAGTGAGAAAAAAGTCTGATTGTTAAGAAAGTTGAAAACATAAAGGGAGTAGAGAAAATGCAGAGATAGTGTGAACATGAATTCCACAGGAATTACCATGGGGTAAGAGAAAGAGGGTGAACATTGAGAATCCTTGTGTAATTTTGCTATGAAGAAAGGTTAAGTTTAAGTAAGTAAGTTAATAATCAGAGCAAGTTTAGATGTGCTGACTTCATGCATTATTACTACGTGGAAATATTTACCAACTATTGTTCATCATTTAATGTGGACAAAACCAAAAGGAGTTGAAAGTAACTGGAATACTTTAATAGCAATGAGGTTTTCTCAGCAGCAAATAACTATCGAAGTGGTAATGAATTTTTTTTCTTAATTCCCTGAGTCTCTGAAAATGGAATGGAGACCTGGTTATATTGTCTTTCTCACATCCTGTTACGAGGAAGGAAAACAGACCTGATGACACATTTTGCTTATTTTCTGGTTTTAACTCTGTGAGAAGGATGTAAGTGTTTGATTGACTTTGTCTGATAATGAATTTTAATGTTTAATGACAAAGGGGGGGAAAAAAGAAAAATTGCTAAAGCTTCTAGGAATCCTGAGCATGACTGAATTTCTAGAGACCCAAATATAATGAACATACAACTAAAAATACAATCTGGGTGGTTAAAATGGTAATTCAGTTTCAAAATTAAATTCGGTCATAGGGATTTTTAAACAGGGAATGCTGTTTTACAACTTCACAATAAATAAATGGGGCTTTAATTACAAGACAATAAATTACCATAAAAGTTTAAAAATTCTGAAAATCCGAAAAACTGATAAAGACTAATGGAGAGAGGATGGCAAAAATAATGGGGGAGGAGGAGCAGTGGAGCAGAAAAGGGCACATCTCAGTTTCTCTGACGTTTTCAATCTTTTCCCAGGAAGCTCAACTATTTGAAAACATTCTTAGTGTATGTGTTATTCAGTGCCACGGAGGTTCTGTACCACATCCAATGACTAGGACTTGTTGGCAAGTGGTGCCAAGTGGCTAATCTTTCTGTCCCTTCTTGAAAGCTCTGCCAGGTGGCTAAACTTCCCTGGGGAGGGGAGAGGGAGTGGGTAGCAGTCACTATATGACTCTCAATTTTGTCACTGTACTCTACCATAGATAGGGCAGGAAGCATCAAATATAGGAAGAAAAACATATGTCTAACTTCTACCAAGACATTAGCTAATCATCAATCAGTTATATATTAAGAGCCTGTCATATATGAAGTGCTATGATTTTCCTACCCTCAAATGGTTTCAGATCTAGTTTTGAGTTAAAGGTAGCAAATGCCCAGTTATAGTCTCAAACTATATAATGCTGAGGACATGCCAAGAAAAGAAAGAATAGTGGACATGGAGGCTGGAGTAGTTAAAGAAAGAGAAACTTGAAACAAAATGTGAGACATGAATAGGAGTTAGATGGACGGAGTGAAGAGAAGCCAGTTTTTCAGGCAGAAAGGTGCATGAGCAATGGGTTGGTATGTAATGTGAAGAGATGGTCCTACCTATTACAAAAAATACAAAAAAGCCAAGATTGAGAGTTAATGAGCTAGGAGAGGATTTCATTGTCCTTAGAATACCAAGTTAAGTAGGTTTAATCAGGCATTGCTGGGCAATAAAAGTCAATTATTGATTTTGAACCAAAATATGTCAATTAAAATGTTATGAAAAAGTTGTTCAAGCCATATAGAAGAAAGATTTGACAAAGGGAGGGGTTATGAGAGAGAGAATAACAGTTTCTATGCTTGCACAGTAAACCAGCCATGGGAGAAAGGCCAGAACTGGGATACCAGTCATAAGAATGCAGAGAACTCAGAAATAAAGAGGAACGTTGGCATTAAGTAATCACTAACGACAGATTAACAAAAAGTGGAATGAGCTCAATCAGGAAGGAATGTCGCAAGAAACAAAATCAAAACCCTTTATACATCATCCTGGTGCAGCTAATACACTGGGGAAATGGAGATTTTGCAGGAATATGTGTAGTACTGTAATTCAAAGTTGAATGAGTAAGGAGGAAAGAATGTTGACAAACATGAGCTAACAGACAAAAATGCATGCTGATTTTACTGCTCAGAATGAAGGATACGTCTGTGGGAATTAATAGAATGAATAATCAGAAGTGACCCTGTTGGCAGGCAATTCGACATAACATAATCTATATTTGATCACAGTCTAATGCAGAAAAACAGTTGGAATAAGACACTTAAGTCCTAAAAATATACATGCTTTTGAAAACTGCACTGATTTCTGTTAATGGCTTTCAGACGTGGACTTTTTTTTTTCCTACTTGGAATATTTCCTGGGAATATAACTTTACAAAGCACAAGTGTTATGCCTTAATGTGCCAGCAGAAGCAGCCAGAGTGAATAATAAGCCAGAAAAATGGGTGAAGTATTATCAAAATGATGGTTATAATTAAAGGACAGTTATCTCTGTATAGATACTCAATATGTACAACATGAGTAAAGCTTAAAATATTCTGTGGATCATTGGTGATATCCTGGTGTAGTAGAATACTTTCTACCACACCCACACCCCACATGGAGGCAGGTAGCTAGTCAGCCAGAAATGTATCTACTTAAACACAGTCACTTGTAATACAAAGCCATACACCAGCAATATAGCTCTCCCACTGCACACCTGGAATAAGTATGACTGCGTAAATATGGAATTGTTTTTTAAAGGCTGTCTATATATTAAGTAGTAGTATTAATAATAATTTAAAAGTGAGCCTCTAACTTGGAAAAGAAATGTAACTTGGAAGGAGTCTAAAGTCACAAAACGAGGCTCATTATTATCCTAGACTTTATAATCTACTTGTTGATTCCCCAGTGTCTTCATTCTTGAACATTTACTTTTATTTAACTTTTTTTTAAACTCAAGCATTAGATGACTCTTCTGCCATGAACGTACCTGGTGTTGGTAACTTTGAAAATACAGGAAAAAGTGGAAGAAGAGACTTGATCTTTTTTAAAAAGTTAGACCATGATTAGCTATTAGAATTATACAATTTCAAAATTACAAAGGACTTGAGGCATAATTTAAGCCCACAAATGGCAAGGTTATCTAAGTAGGGGCAGTTGTTCTCTTTTTAACTAGGCTGATAAATTAAAATTTCAATAAATTGACTTCATGTAATTTAAAAAATAACACATAATGAAACATTGACATTATACCCATTACGCTACTTTTCTGTTTTATGAAATAATGTAATTTGGGAAATCAAATTATTCAAAATTAAGGATCCATATTTGAAATTAGAGTTCTCTCAGTATTATAGATTCATAGAAATTCAGCCAGCTCTTTCATTTCATGGGTAAGAATAATAAAACTGATTCTCTTTGAGCTCTTTGAACAAATTGTCTGAAGCCATATATATTCCACTAGATTTTCAGAGCTCTCTATATTGGTCTGGGGAGTCCATGAGTTTAAAAAAAAAAAAAAAAAACCACACATCATGGACGATTGTGCAAACAAGGTCTCTCATGTGCATTGTAGTCCTCACTGAAACTAGAAGTCCTTTCCATATATTCATCCTGCCAGAAATGCAATATCTATCCCTGTGATAACATAATTAAATAAGCAGCATTTTAGAGTTTCATGGAGGGTAGTAATAATTTAAAATATAAGAACACATGTGCCACTCAACATATTAAAGAAAGAAACAACCTGTTACTTTATATTTCTCTTGATAGATTAGTATTAAAGAATACAGAGATTGGCTCAAATCTCCTACCAGATAGGAATGGCAGGAATGGCCTGATTTGAGACACATTTTTAACTTTTATAAGCTTCAGTTTTCAAATGTAATATATATATATCATGTGTCATGAGATAGATAAATAGATAGATGATAGATAGATAGATAGATAGACGATAGGTAGATAGATGATTGATAGATAGATAGATAGATAGATAGATAGATAGATAGATAGACAGACAGACAGACAGACAGATAGATGATAGATAGAATGTGTATGTGTGCACCACTACTAACCCCTATGTCAAAGCGTTGGGAGAAGCAGTGCAGGTGTAGAACAGCTCATGGGCCTGGAGTAAGTGCTGGGACACCGCTGGTGACAACTGCGACTGCTATGACTAACACTAACACCGCTGCAGCTACTGCCTCCACCACAGCCCTAACTTACAAGAGCTAAATTTCTATTTACTGAGTTCACCCGCATTTCTGTAGCTCTCTGAAGCTCCCCCCATGTCTATTTCCTAAACTCTCTCACAGATCTGTATGTAGAAAATAGATGTTTGATGGAACTCACATGGGTAATATACTCTTGTTCTACCTTTCTTTCATTTATCGAATGGCAGTCACTCAATCAACATTCAGTGGAATTTAAAAATGTAAGTAGATGAAAGAACATTTGTACATTCCTAAGACTTGGTTTAGTATTACAGTCTTTAGTCTCTGGGTTGCTTTAACGATGCAGTCGGTATCTACCCAGTTGGTTCACAGAGTTTCTACTGCACAATTAGAGAAAAGGGATGCTAAGGCAAACGTGGCTCATAACTTACTGGGATCTCCTCCATCCATCTGTCTGCTTATAAATTCCTCCCTTGGACTCCTGTTCTTCCACTATAGTGCAGACATAAAATGAAAGGTGGCAAAAAATATTCTTTGCTTCCCACCTACAAAGATGCATTCTTGCTCCTATTTTTGGTGATTAAAGTATACCATTCCCTAGTATATTTTAATCTCTGATTCTGTGAGTTGGTTGCCATCACAGGAAATGTGTCCTCCAAATTATAGTCCAGTTTACCACTATGCACCAAAACAGGCTGTCTGAAAACAACCACCCAGTAATTTTATAAAGAGTTGCTCAAGAGTGCCCTGTGGCAGAGCTGGATGGGCTAGAAAGAGGAGGAAAGCAGGGCGGTTTCCTCCTCTGCCCACTCCTTTCTTCTTGTCCTCTTAAGCTCCTATGCTCATTCCTTCTGTACGAACTGCTTAATATGGATTTTAAGAAAATAATTTTAAAGTGTTTCAGTCTATGTGCATTGCTAATAGTGTGCAGATTACAGAGACTTAATGCAGAGGACAAAGGGAATATAAGCAGGAGAGAAACTGGTCACTTCCCTGGTGAAATAGATCTGAAAATAAGGATTTATCTATGACTACCTCCTTACCTGCTGGGATTCTTCCATCTGTGAGAAACAGGTCGCTGAATCCTTCCCCCAGCAGCCTATCTATTGGAGAATCTCGCCCTAAATCATAATCACTGTCTCCTGCTTCACTGTCACCACGGCCACTGTCTTTCAAGCTAAATTTGTCCATGTCTTGAAGGGCATATCTAGAAAGATAAATCAGGGAAAGTATAGTTTTTATTCTTTAGCATCCATGTTATTTGAGACTTAATAGGTAACACGAGGGTAATTCATACCTATAGCTCCTAGAATATTTGTTTCCTCGAAAACTTGGCCTTGGCTGATATTGCCCCTGGTGAAGCATTGAAAGAAGCTGGGAGACCTGCTGGAAACCAAATAGACAGAACTGATTCCTGGAAACAAACCCCCAGATAACTCACAAGCTTTCAGCAAGGATAAACAATTATTCACAATTTCATTCTAGTTAATTGAACATGTTATCTCTCTTGTAAAGATTTACACGTGCTGGACTGTGGCAGACAGTGCAGCTAGCCACCAGATATAACCAAATACATTGCAGAGAGAGCTGAATGATCTAAGAGAACTGGTTTTGTTTTTCTTTTTGAAAGAGGACCCCTTTATAAACAACAGATTGAGTTCCTTTATTTTATAGTTCAGATTAAAGTGATCAGTGATAAAAACACATGGAAAATGCTGTAAAATACAACATTGTAACAGGTAGTTAAAATAATGGCAGAAAATTTTCAAAAGTTGAACAGATATAACATGCATTGAGATAGGATTCTGGAGGCCTCAGTTTTCGATTTCTTAGTAGAGACCACAACTATGAAAATAAAACAAGCCCCTTTATTTTCGTCCTCCAGTATCTAAATCTGGGAAGTAAGGGGATTCTAATCAGCTAGTCCTTTGTGAGATTCCCATTTATTTTTCAGTATTCTACATAGTACATGCAAGTAAACTCTTAAGAAAAACAGCATGCTAAGGTGTGTATGCTTGCTACATATACATGATATAACTTGTAACCTACTTAATTTGCATCTCGTTAGTATTGTTAATTCTTAATGGAGACATTTAAGAACTAACACACTCACAACTACTGAACGCTAACAGCTACTTTGTCAGGGAACCAGTGCAGTGTGTGATCTTACCTCAACCGCAGGAGTGGCATGGGTGAGTTCTAATGAGAAATTCTCTGGCACGTGGTTCGAGGAGATTGTCACCAAACTGTTGAGGGACTGGTGACTGTTGTGACTCTGCCGGCTGCCCATTTGCCCTCTTTCTAAGGTAGGAGATGAAGACGGAGACGATCTGTGATGAGATCTGATGGGTAGAGTGCCATTTATGGTAGGCACCAGCGTAATGTCCCCTTTGTGAATCTGCCTGGATGGCCTTTTGGGGTGGTGTTGGTAAGTCGATTCTGCGACCCTGCAATTGTAGGATCTAGTGTCTTTCTTTTCTCGGTTACACCGAGTTGCAAACAGCACCATAATAACCAACAACACGGCACAAATTGCTCCTAAGGAAATAATTATAATCATGGAGACATCCAAAGACGCCTGGGTTACTGAGGTCATTGCTGTACTTGTCACTGACTCTGCATATTCAAAGATCATGCACTTCAGAAGGACTTTGGTACGTAGCTGAGGATTGCCTTTGTCCTGGATGATAACCGAGAGCTCCCATTCTGTGTAGGGGACAGATTCCATGCTCACGTTGGTATGGACGTCACATGATCGTGGATCAATTAAAAAGATATTCTCCTCATTTCCTGCTACTATGGAGCAACTGAGTTCGGCATTCACGCCAGAGTCTCTGTCAATTGCCCTTATTCTTGTGACATGAAAGCCACTTTCAGCCCCTTTGGGGATGGAGATTTCTGCAGTATTATTGCGCAGAACAGGCCCTACGACCACAGGAACGTTGTCATTTTCATCAATGATGGTGAGCACAACTGTGGTGTTGCTTACAAGCTGCTTTGGACTTCCCGCATCCCTTGCTTCAACCACGAAAGTGATCTGACTCACTTCTTCATGATCAAAGATTCTGAGGGCATAGATGGCTCCATTAGATGGGTCAATGGTTACATAGGTAGTTATGGAACTTCCCAGAATAAAACTCTCCAAAATAGTATATGTAACTTGCCCATTTTCTCCAAGATCAGGATCTGTGGCTGTGACAGTGGTGATATATGCCCCTGGCGAGTTATTCTCTGAGATTGCAAATTCATATCGACTTCTCTGGAAATGGGGTGGATTGTCATTTATATCATTGATCTGCACAGTAAAATGTTTTACTGTAGAGAGACTGGGTGTCCCCTTGTCCTCGGCGATTACGGTCAAACTGTATTCAGATCTCTTTTCTCTATCCAGGGTGGCATTGGTCAAGATTAAATAATTGTTTTCATAAGTCTTCTGAAGTTTAAAGTGACCATGTCCGTGAAGCTTACAAACTATTTCTCCATTCAGCCCAGAATCCTTGTCCTGAACCCTGACCAAGGCAACAAATGTATCAACAGGATCCCCTTCAAAAATATAAGATATTTCTTCTTTTCCAGGGGACATGAAGTTTATGTTAATTTCAGGTTTATTGTCATTAACGTCCACAACCTTAATTATAATTTTGCAATGAGCTGGGATTGAATTCGGACCCAAATCTTGAGCCTGAACGTCAATCTCATAGGATTTGGTAATTTCATAATCCACTTGCTTGAAAAGGGTCAAATGTCCTCTCTCCGAATCAATTTTAAAAGTCTCTATAATTTTTGGAGACACATGACTGCTGAAGGAATATACGATTTTCCCATTAGCGCCCTCATCTGGATCGGTGGCATTCAGATCTAGGAGCAAAGTGCCAACGGGGGAGTTTTCTAAGAGTTGTATTATATAAGACTGCTGCTCAAAAGCAGGGCTGTTGTCATTGGAGTCCGAAATGCTTATTTTAAGAATGGACGAGCCGGACCTCTGTGGCACACCCATGTCTGAGGCAGTGAGCTGAAGCTCATAGCTCGACTTCAGCTCCCGATCCAGCTCTCTCACCACGATGAGTTCTGCATACTTGGCTCCATCAGTCCTGGTCCGAACCTCAATATTAAAAAAATCATTGGCAGAGAGAGAGTACGTGTGGAGGGAATTTTCCCCCACATCTGGATCAAACGCACTGTCCAGTGGGATGCGAGTCCCAACTGCTGCGCTCTCAGATATCTCAATAGGAATGAGAGATCTCGAAAACTGGGGGGAATTATCATTAATATCCAGCACTTCGACTTCAATATGGAAAAGCTGCAGATGCTCAGTGGGTAGGGTGATCACATCAAACTCTATGGAACAGTTCAAGTTTTTCTGGCATAGCTGTTCGCGGTCAATTTTCGCCCCTATGCTGATTTCCCCATTATCCTCGTTTACTACAAGCAGAGGAGAATTTCCCCTTTGCATGGCTCGAAAACGAACAGCAGGAGGATAAGGTAGCTTAACTAAAACATCAGCCACATCCTCTGATAGTCTTGCAATTACTGATCCAACCCTCTGCTCCTCATAAATCCTGTATTTCAGATTCTTGCCCAGCACATCGCAGTTGAAAGATACCATCAGGAGTGCAAAAACCAATCTAAAGTGCATCTTAGCATTCATCTGGCACATCGGTCAGCATACGAGGTTCCTCTCACAGAGCGAGTTAAAAACGGCAAAGCAATTCCCGCAACTTCCTTTGGCAACTTAACGCTAAGCTACATTTGGCACTTGAAACTTGAAAGCGGCTCTTAATAACGCGGCACAGCCATTAACGGCTCGCAAACTTTTGTTTTATACACACCGTGTGGCGACTTCCAGAGAGCATCGGCACGCCGTGCAGCCCCCGCATCCGTTGGGCCGTTCGCCGTCCTTGCAGGCAGGAGAGCGTCACCTCCGCGCGTCGCCCCGCGGGCAGTCGGGGTCCATCTAGCGCAGGGTGCCGGCGGAGTCTGCGGCGATCTCCGCGGAGCGCTTCCTCCCGTCCCCGGCTCGGCTGCAGACTAAACAGCCGTGATTGCTGACTCCAGCCGAAAATCTGCACAACTTCACTTCAACTCAGACAAAGCTCTCTTGCCCGGCGTGTGTTGAATCGCTTCCAGCCAATCAGCGTACTCCCAAATCAAAAGCTGATGGAGTCCCCAAAAGCCAGGGCGGAGGAGAGGGGAGGCTGGGAGAGGGAGGGAGACGCGGG